GAAAGAGAAACAAAGAAGAAGTCTGAGCTTCAAAACAGAACCGAGTGACTGCAGCGTAATGATTTTCAAGCATCAACTCAGCCATGGTAGCAAAAGGCATAGGTCTTTTGGTCCCTCTCTATTATAAAGTGATATGTCTTAATATAAATCTCTTGTTGAAGTTGAAGCTAGTACACTTCAGCTTGTCTCCACCACATCTATGAGGCTGAGTACCAAGGATGGGCTGACACATGACTATTTTATTAATCCACACTATCTCGTTCATACCTCTGAGCGATACCTTTTGTGGCTGGGGAAATCTGACACTGTATTTTACCTTCTGGTTTACTATGTGTACAGGACCTCAAGAATCTGCTGTAGGACAGTGAGATTTCAGCAGACTCTTAGATAAAGAGGCTAGGATGGCAGCTGGGATCACTTCCACTTTCTACCGTTATCATTTTATTAGCAGAAATGTTAAGAGCATATCCTGATCTCCCCCAAAAAATTGGTGCCTCCCTGCTCTCATGATCTTTGAATACACAGCAATAGCAAGTAGGAATTCAGATTGAAGAGGATTCGGATTAAACCAACGAAAGCAACCCCAGAATAAAATCAGGCTAGGAGATGAAAGAATATCCTGACTTTTTCAAGGTCACACAACTGATAAGCAGTAGGGCTGGGAGTAACCCAGGGTGCTCGGATCCTGCCCCTGTGTGCTAACATTTAACAGCGCTGCCTCTGCCTTTCAGCTGAGCAATTCCCAACAGGAAGAGAGGGGGAAATGATTGGGCTGTAAAAGCTTTTTCTTGCCAATTCCACCATTGAATCTTGTGCCAGCATCTACTGAAATGGTTTGTGATGCAGGCCTGGTTTTAAAAGCAGGACACGGTGACTTGGGATTAAACCCAGTCAGGTAAAATGAAAGTTAACTATCAGCTAAAACTTCTTTCTGGCAAGACCCACTGCAATGCAAAACTGTTTCCTAGGGTAGTGCTGGGACTTGTTGTTTAAGACATTTTAAACCAAACTGAATAAATTTCTAGAAAAAAAATCTGTAGAAAATGACTCTGTATCAAGATTTGGGTTTTTTGCTTCCTGGAATCCTTGATGCAAAGGTCCTGAACATAGCTTGCAATATGTTGTAATATGGTTTTTTGCAGGAGAAAGAAACAGTAACATACCATTACATTGAGCAACCATCAGAAAACACCCCAAGAAAAAGCACCATGGACGTAAGGAAATTTCATTACTCTAATGGGAACTGACTTGCTCTTAATCTCCCAGTGTATCTGGGAGAACATGCTGATAGAGGTTTTTTAATAAAGATTGCAACTGGATAGTTTGTTGATAAAGGTATGAGATATGGTATGAAGTTGCACGGATCACCTTGCTGTTGTCCCATTCTTGGGTTTTCATCTGTGTGTGGATTAGCTCATAGGACGGCTCCATTGCATCCATGTCTGGCTTGGGGTAGCCAGGGATGACGTTGTGCAGCTGGAACCCAAAAGTGAGCAGCCAACTGTTGACATCTGCAAGAGAAGAGAACCATAAATCAGATTATTTGATCTCTCAAGCAAGGTTGCCCGGGAGAATGGCGCAGAGGAGAACCCTATGGTGTCTGGCACTGAAGCAGTCTGGCCAAAATGATGACCACCTACTTCGTGTGAAGAGCGCAAATCTTAATGGTGCTTGAAAGAACCATGTGCCAAGGCTGGGCTTTCCATCTCCAACCACAGTCTAATTCTGAAACAGAAGCTTTGGCAGTGACCAAATGACCCAAATCAAAGCCAAATCCATGTCTGCCCTACATCAGCAGGCACCAGAGGCTCACTCTAAGGTAAGCAGGAGAAACACAGGAACAACAATGCACTAATGGAGGCTGAGATGCTCCAGCTGAATGGGAGGTGTTGTCCAGTTCTACCATCAGCTTTGACCATCTCAGCCTCAATACTTCTCATCCTGAGGCCTCTTGAAGGGTCTGCAGGCTGAAGACTGAATTTAGAGCTATGTAAGCCAATAGCAGGATATCCAGCACAGACAGCACGGTCCTTTGGCAGCCACTCCGGCAAGAGGCCTTGGACATACACTCTGCTTTTTCCACAGCATTTCTACCTCAGCCCTTAGTTTCTTGGCATTTTTCGTAAGAAGGTGTAGTTTGAGTATTAAACCAGTGTAAAGTCACATGTCATCTTTTATAGGGACATTTAAAATCAGCCTCCACACTGCCTGCAAGTTACATTATCGTGCAAATAAGTGCACAGTTAGAAGACCTCTGTGCTTGGGTACCTTTCACAAATGCCTTAGAAGTCCATGAATGGTGAGAAAACCGCTTGATGCAAGCAATAAACCATTGTTCTGGCAGCAAAAGGGGCACAATGGAAACCCCAGCCATTTGGGACATCATTCCTGCATTCAGGACAGTACAGATGGCAAAGTCTTCTCTGATTTAGATTCACAGCTATTAGGAATAACAGCTGCATGTGAATCTGCAGGAGGAAATAATGATGAGGCTATCTGGCTAACTCCTAGATCCGCTTGGGATCAGCATTGCTTCCCCCTTTAACTCCAGAGTATTTGATAATCTCACCTTGTTTGTCTTCACTGAACTCTAGAGAAGGACACACCTGCTACAATCCTCAAGTAACACTGTGTGCATTTGGCACACAAATAGCAATTGGAAGAACAAGAAAGGTATGAAGCTGAAGTTTAATATCAGCTCCCCGGGGTTCGAAGTGTTTTGGATGTAACTGGGATTGTGCTGGTGATTGCTCTGCTTCAAGCTCGACGTGCAAGGGGCTTGATTTTCATTTTGCTAAACTCAAAAAAACGTTGTTGAAGCAATCTGGAAAAGGGATCGATTTAAATAACCAAAAAGGCATCTTTGAACATTTTTTCTCTGTTCCCCATGAGACTAAATGTGTGTTTTGAAGAGCTGGTTGGAAAAGAAATTACGGATGCAAGCGGCAAATAAGGCACTTCCAGATGACTGGAGAACCAGGAGCCAAACAAACACACTATCTGTTGCTTGTTTTCTTACAGGCCAAAATGTTGAGATTGGGCAGATGTCCAAAAAGCCCTTGCGACAATCCGTGTAGAAGGGGGAGGATTTCTGTAATAAAAACACTTCTGTTCACTCAATGTACAGATTGTTTTTGGAGTGTCTTTGAAAGAGAGAGGTTGGGAGGAGGGAGAGAAATTAAAAGGCTCAATTGATTATTTTTTTGCTTAACGCTAAGCCAGCCTGCTTTCAAATCCTTCTCATCTGAAATGAAGACCTTTGAAATCTATAAATTGTGGACCAGGTGGTCAGGAGAACAAAGTAAAACAGTGAAGGTCGCATTGGTGCAGGAACCATTTTCCAAGCACTTCACAAATGTTAAAAAGAATACAGAGCAGGGATGCTGAAAAATATGTAACGTGTCTGCAAAGATTCAAGATAGGCTTTTTTAAGATACTTCTCAGAAAACTGACTTTCAAAACATTTGCAAACAGGAGTTTGTTCTTTTGGGGAAGAGGTGTTGGAATACCCAGAGCAAAAATAAAACAACCCAAAAACTCCAAACATGGGAGGAAGGTGTGGAGCTGAGAAAACAGAGGGGAAAATATTAATTTGCCAAGAGGCAGTGACAACTTTTTTGACAGAAAAGTACATTTCACATCACAGAGTTTTTTTTCAGCTACAGTAACCCTGCCAACACATTTCACAGTAAATTCATTTGAGGCCAAAGAAAAAGAGTGCTTAATGCAGACACATGTAATGGAAATGTCAGTTGAATCCATCAGGATTGCTGAAGCTGGCAGCAAAGCTCTGCACCATGAAGTGTACAATCACTAAAATATTCATGTTTAACTATGGGCCTCTCAAAAACTGAATACCTGCTTCTCCTGCTCTCCCCTCCCCATGCCTCAAATTTGTACCCACGAGCTCAGAAGCCTCATCGCTGGAGGCCAAAGTGTGAGTCATTTGCCTGTGTCCTGGGTGCTGAGCTCCTCTAAGGACAGCGGGTCCCAGGGTGGGGATGGAGGGAAAGAGAGTGGTTCCTGTGCCCAAATCTGGGCAGATTTGGTTGTGGTGACAAGGACGCACTCATCCCAGATCCTACCCACAAGGTGCTGGAAAGCTTCAGCAGAAACAAAAGCCAGAGCAGTAGCCTTGCATCATGGCACCCAACTTGACCCATTGCTTCCATGCAGTGGGAAAGAAGAAACTTCAAAAAAGTATTCGGGCTCTGTATTCTTGAAAAACTAAAAATAGAACTTTTAAGACCATGGAAAAAGTTATTCGGTGCATATAAAATATTAAAGTATCAGATTCGGGCATCTTGATGCTGTCATCAGAGCTGGGTGGGAAACTGTTCACCTGTTCCAAGGCAGGATGGAAAATTTTGTCCCATCTTCACTTGAGCAGGAAAATAAAAATCTGCTAATATGTCACAAAGCAACTGTTCAAAAACTACATCAGTTCAAGACAACAATTTCAAAGTAAGATCTTCCATTTTGGTTTTGACTCCTTAATTTTTCTTTTCCAGTTTTAAATCATTAGTTTACACTTAACTTGAAAAGGCTGAAAACCGAAAAGCAAGTTTTCTTTTAGGCTCTTCTGGAATTTGTCATTTAGACAATTTTGAGAGCTGTTTACAACATTTCTGCTGAGAAAGCTCTCAAACTCAGCCCTCTCCCATAACCAAATTCAGTTTTGACAAATGAGCATTTTCTGATAGGGAAAAGTTATCTCAACTTATTCCCTGCCAGCCTTAATTATCAGAGTGAGGCCAACACACAGGATCTTAGCCTGCATCTTTTGGCATATTTTACTTCCCTCATGGCATCATCTTCTCAGCTCTGGAGAAAACAGCTTTTCATTAAAAAAAATACAATCTCATCCTTATGATTATTGCAGAAGAACCTGAAAGCATGAATCCTAATGGCTAGAAAAACAAGTGCAATAGAACAAACCAGGATTTTTATTTTGTAACTTTTTTCTTTGCTATTAAGCCAGTCTCATAACTTAGGGAAATGTCAATATTGCTGCATATGTGAAAGTTGTGATACATGCAGCAGGAGCATTTAAAAATTAATTCTATCTCCTTAAGAATTCTATACATTTGATTTGTGATTGTGTCGTTTGGTTTTCCAATGGGAATTATACAGAAAAGAGTCCCAGGAGAACAGTACTCTCAAACATTGCTACCAGTGTTGCAAAAAGTATGAATATAGGAAGCACATTTAACCTACAGAATTATTTCTGTGTAAAAAATATACATAGAGCTCACGTTATTGCTGTTCTACAAAGTCCCAAGGGAAGCAGTTCAGAGGTTATGTCAAGCTGTGGGGTAGGTATGCCCTAAAATCTGGCCTTTAATTCTAGTGCACCTGCTTTTATTGACTTTTAGTAAAAACTGTTAATTCTGTGAGGCAGATTAACTTTGAACTACATGGTTACTGCAGTGTGCTCTGAAATGGCTGACTGTGATAAAAGGTTTAAGTCACTGTTGCCATTCTGCTAAAACAAATCTGCATGTCATTTGTTTAGTCGCAAATAAATCTCTAGGCAAAACTGTGTAAACAGAGCTGCCCCTCTGCAAAGAGAAAGGTTATCAGGAGATTAATTGGTAGCTAAACTTGGGATATCTGAGGGAATGATGAACTGGAAGCAAAATAAAGAGAATGAACACTAAGGAAGAGAAAAGGAAACAGGTTTGGGAATTACAACCTCCATCTATGCTAATGAATTCAACATGCCCAAAACATAGGGGTCAACTGGCAAAGAAAAGCTTGCGTTCATTATATTAAACATTGAAAAACCTCATGGTGACCAGGATACTGAGAGAGAAGAAACCTATCCACTGATTGCAAGCTGCAAATACGTTAATTAATTTAAATGTCTTACCTGTCATGTAACATTTGATATCCTGAGAGTTGCTAATGGGATTGTTGTTTTTGAACATATACAGGTTGAAAGGCATTATGTTATTGCTACTCAGGTGCTTCCACATATCGTGGTCTGGACTCGTCCACCGACCCGCTAGCACATCATAGTCCCTCCGTCCCATGTGGATAAGCTTTGTGAGGGGGTCATACAGTCCTCCATGGTAGCCAATGATGATCTGGAAGTTGGGATTGGTGTCCATATAGATCTCCCCATATGCTGTGTACAGTATCTGCTTGATCATTAAGCCAGTCCCACTGAAGACAGCCAAAGGAGTGCCAATGTTATCGCAGGCTATGTAGAATTCATCACCGCTGCTGAGCTCCATTGCAAAGAGGTGGCCTTGGAGGTCATAGTAGAGGGAGGTGATTTCGGAGCTTGAGTGGTTGTATAAATGGGTGACCTTGGTTGGGCTGGTCAGGTCTGCGTAGAAGAACTGCAAGTGATGGCCGTGGCTGGTTTTGCTAGAGACTCTCCTTCCTAGGCCATCATAGCGGTATTTCACACTCCACCCACTAGCTTTATTGTAGGCTTTGATGAGCAGACCAGCTGAATTGTACTCAAAAATGTCATTTCCTCTTTGCTTCAGGAAGCCGTCTTCATCCATTTTGTACTGCACATCCCCCAGTCTTGTAATCCTATCCCTGAGGTCGTACCTGAGTGGTGTAAGGCGGGCACTATTCCCTGGACTCAGCAAATGGAGGTTCCCATTTAGGTCGTAGCTGTAACGCCAGAGTGGTTTGTCATTGATAGACACAGTCTGCAGCTGTCCATCAGCATCATACTCATATGAGTACCTAGTTGTGTTTGCATACGGGCCAACCTTCAGCTCTTTCTTAACCACTCTCCCCATGTTGTCGTACTGCACAGTCATCCAGTACATGAGGGACCGGAATATCTCGTACTGGACCTCCTTCATCCTGCCGTAGGCATCAAAATGTTTAGTGTGAGTCATGACAGCAGTGGTGATAATCTGGTTGATATCGTAGTAAATGACTCCGAATTTACCAAATTGCTCAGTTTTGCCTGACACATCATCGTACCTGTAGAGGTCAATGGGTAAAGGTGTCTCGTTGATGACTGCCTGCATGCTGGTCACCCGAAAGCTGTTGTCATAGTTATAGTCAAAACGTGCATTCACCATGCCTTCTTCAGTGAAGCGGAAAATCTGTCGATCAATGAGGGGTCCTATCTGCCTGTATCTGATTGTGCATGTGAACCCTTCATTCTGCAAGTTGATTGTCTTCAGCATGCCAGCAGTTTCGTCATAGGTGAAACTGATCTTTGTGGTGTCGTAGAGCATCTCGGCCAACTTGGACAGCTTCCCATACTTGTAGATGACACGTCTCCCTGTCCCCAGGTACAAAGTGTGGAGGAGCTGCTCATCCTCTGTGAAATCCTGAATTACTGAGGCATTGCCTTCCGGAGGCCGGTAAATGTTCCTGTAGTAACCAATGGAACGAATTGTTTCTAAAGTCTGACGGGCAACGTTGGGCATGGTCACTGATGATAACCGGTCGTTCTTATCAAATTCAAAGATGTATTGTCTCTGGCTGTGAAGAAGCAGCACCATGGACTGGATGGGAAGGAGAAAAGTAGAGATTATATCCCTGGTTTTCAGGCAAAATTACACTCAGCTCTCACAAAACCTGCAAGATTCTCCAATCCGAAGAGCAGGGCAAGTGAGATAAATCTCTGCACCCACAGGAGTACATGGTGAGAGCTGCACAGCTCATTGAGTATCCTTGAATAGGAGTGGGTCAGAGGAAGAAGCAGTTAATGCAGTGAGGAAGGTCAGAATGCTCAGTTGTTCGAATCAATACTCTGTAGCTAGCTGTATCTACCCAAACACCTGGGGCAATAGCTTTCACAGACTAAATAAATAAAATTGGAGAGCGACTTAAACAATGCTTGAAAAAGTAACCTCCAACACTTTCCAATGCCCAATTAATTCATTTTGTCTCCATAGCTTTCATTACTCTCTTACTGAAAACTTCTGTCTGCATGCTTATTTGTTCTGGGATTTCTTTTGCATATAACAATCAATCCACACAGATTGTATAATACAAGAGGCAAGTCAATACCTTTTGCTTTATAAAAGCTATGTTACTGTAGTTACTTCCAGCCCAAGGTATGCAGCATATGGATCTATAGGACATTAGGCAGGGTAATGATGAGTGGTAATACTCAGAAGAATTTAAGTCCCAAGCACAGAGTATAGGCTACAGAAAATATTGCAAAGTGTGCTACAATGGTCCAGCTGGATTTATGCCTTGTACTTTTTATTACATGTATTTTCTACAAAGCAGGAGTGGGCCACTCAAAGAAAACAAGATGTCAGACTGTATGGGCTGTTTTCACATGGAAAATCCTACTGTAAATTCCTACTGTTCACTCCTCTGACTTTACCTGAAGATATTTTACATTGCAGCTAGTTCAGCAAAAGAATGTTGTGCTAAAAAAAAAACCAAATGCCAAAGCTTCACAGCATTAAGACATGCTCTCCGTGCGACTGGGAAAGAATACTGCCCTCAGGGGAACTTCTCAGGCTATTTTCAACTGCTTTTTGGTAGTTTGGTATCAATGTCACTGTGTGCACCTTGGTGTAGGTATAATACATGGAAAAGGAGTATTGGACCATAAGGATCATTAATCAGCTGATGTGAAGCAATGCAGCTGTACTGAAGTCAAAGGAATAAAGCCCATTTGCACCAAATGCACCATCTCTGAGCAATTAGAGGAATTTTACCTTCTCCAGGTACGTGTAGCTCCATGATTTGCCATCAGCAAAGATCCTGGATGTAATTCTGCCAGACTGATCGTACTCCATCCTCTCTGACATCGTGCCCCTCTGAATCCCTGCAATGTGTCCTCCTGGAGAATAGGTGACATTGACGCCGTTCAGCCTGCTGCTGGGTGACCAGAGACTGGGCCTCCCTGCCTGGTCGTAGAGGATGCGGAGCGTGAACTTGCGGTGGTCATCATAGATTTTCTCTGTCCTTGTCACACGATCGAAGTCGAGGGACAGGAGGTTTCTGTTGTGAACCTACAGGAAAGAGGTGGAGAATTAGGAAGCTGGAAGCAGTTGAAGTTACAAAGACCAGGCTTGTTTAACCAAAGACCACACTGGAGAGCATCCAACTGTTCATTACTTCTGGATAAGAGGCAATTTTCAAAGCACAGAGTTGTCCTAACATTGCTTCTGTTGGTTTCAGTGAGGAATGAGGCAGAAAAACGGGGTATTTGTGAAACATCATCATGGTGAAGGAAAACCTAGGCAAAGCAAAACCTAGGCTTAGGATTGCTACAGCAGGTATGATTACAGGTATGATTATAGACCTACAGAAGATGTAATGCCAACTTGTTGTGGAGAATATTTGCAAGGTACTCTGCTTATCAAACTTGGGATACATAGTCTTTTGCTTTCATGTGTGTCAAAAAATACTTCTAGAAAAAAAGGGGGATTTTGTGTCAATGTAGTGGAAATCAAAGCTTTTCTCTAAGTTTACTGAATATACTGCAGGCACTGGAGGTTAAGCCTTGCCCCTGAGATGAAATATGGAGGCCTTGACCACGGCAGATGTTGCACAGAGCAGGAACTTTCCTGTGAGAGTGGAGTTTTTGCTTCATTGTCCTGGAGTTATTCAGTGCTGCATAATTACACTCCTGTTACCTCCACTGCCTCTGCATTTCCAAAGATCAAAGGTATCCACTTCAAAGGTAGGAGCAGGAATACATTTTGATTCAAGGATCGTAGTGCACAGCAATACAAAAAAGGAGCTGATAATACAACTCATGTTTAGCTGCATGTGCAAGGGCACTTACAAAGCCACATCACCACAGTGGCAAAGTACTGAGCAAGGACGACAACTACACATTCCCAACACGAGCTTGCCAGTGAAGACAGCTCTTTCGCTGTCCCACCACTCTTGAAACTCTTTCAGCTGGTGATCCCCTCTTTTCTAGGGAAACTTGCAGATTCCTATTGGTCGAATTTCAAACTCCAAACAGCTAACTTGGTTTTCAGTTCCCTTTGCAAGCCCTTCAGCAGCAGTCAATAAAGCAGAGTTTGCAGGTTGCTACAAGGTCTTCAGACCAAGTTAAAACCATTGCCTTCTCCTCCTCTGGGTAAACCTGATACTCCTGACCCGAGTATTGTTCTCAGCCTTGGTTCAGCTTTGATCTTGGCCATTACTTCAGGGTAATGATTGAATTATATGAATCAATATGATTGAATTCCCACTATATTTTGAGGGATGTGGGAGTATCTGAGAGTTAAACAGCAAGAGAAAGGATGGGGTAGGTCCAATGGAGAAGGGGTTCCTCAGCTTTGGAGGAATAGGAGAGGGGAAGTCAGGGCTGCTGTGTGAGCAGGCATCTGTGCTGACGTCTAGAAATTGGGGATGCTGCAAACTCAGAATTCAGAAGAAGGCATCTCAGGATCTGAGGCTGGAAGAGGCAAAAGCATGACTGAGAAAACGAGTTTGCAAGCTGAGGAGGTGCGTGGTCAACTGAGAGAGAAGGAATTGGTGCCGTGATGTAAGTGTGAAGATGATGTAAGAGGAGGCAACTGCAACAGTGATTTTCAACTTATGAATAACAATGGTAAAAGGTGGGTATGACTTGAGGAAACAAACATTTTAGATAATGCTCCATTTAAATATGTGTAAAATAGAATGTAAATAGGCAACGGGAGAAGGAGGGAATCAGCCAACAGCCTGCTGTAACAGGCAAGCTGGCAAATAATTAAAAAGGTATCAAAACTCTTAAGTACAGATGCACACATGTAACTAATAGAGCAATTTGATACCTTGTAGGTGCTTGCTGCTATAAATAGAGAAACAGAAGTGGCAATTGCTTGCAATAAAAAAAGCAATGCAGGAAGGAATAGCATCTCTGCTCTCCATCTCTTCACAGGGCAGCTGCAGCTTCTTCTGCTCCTGGTCCCTGCCAAGAGAGCTGGAAAGAGCTCATCCAGGGCTGGGACAGTAACCCAGGCTGAAAGTGGCCTCCCTGATCCGTGCAGCAGTGCCATTGATCGAGCTGGAAGGATCAAATTACAGGTCCCAGGATAGCTCTTATGCTCAGTCCAAGTCTCTGTATCCCATTACTGGTGTCCTAAGTCATTCCAACCTCCCCATGCTCTGGTAAGCAACTTCTGCAGGACTAGTTGGAACCAGGCTCCCTTTTCAAGATGGTTTTGGGGTTGTTTTTGTGTGGTTTATATATATATGATTTGCTTCCTCCTGCTCTCTCAGTGTAATGTCTTTTCTTTCTGAGAAGTGCTGCAGTGCCATCAGCCACCCCTCAAGGTGATGGGCAAAGTGAACCCCACTCTGCCAGATAGCCTCTGAACAGGAGCTAAATCTTTTTTTTTCATCCTTGTTCAAGGACATGCCTTGAATAGAAGTGAATTTTCTGCAAAAGCACTGACAGGGCTGCAGGTTTCAGTCCAATAACTGTGCTTTATGGTGAGCAGCTAAATAAGGTGCCATCCTACATCCCAGCATTGTTATCCTGGAACAGGGTCTGCAAAGCTCCTGCAAAAATCTTTTGCCCCTCAGAGTGTTTGACAAGGCTTGTGATCAGCACAGGACTGAGACAGGGTGAATTTAAATCCACAGTATATTGACCTCCCCTCTATATGCAAGAGACTAAATTTAACCCCAAACTCACATTTCACAGCAATTCAATCCCCTAGTTTGCTCTGGAAAGGCAAGTACTTAAATATGCCACTATCTCTGATTTCTGCAATGCTTCCTATGGAGCTGCTTTAGCTTAAATTATAATCCCAGAATCACAGAATATTAGGAGCTGGAAGGGACCTCTGCAGATCATCCAGTCCAACCCCTGCCAGAGCAGGATCACCCAGAGAAGATCACACAGGAACACATCCAGGTGGGTTTTGAATGTCTCCAGAGAAGGAGACTCCACAACCTCTCTGGGCAACCTGGCCCAGTGCTCTGGTACTCTCACCGGAAATAAGGTTTTCCTTATGCTTAGGTTGAACCTCCTGTGCTCCAGTTTGTGACCATTGCCCCTTGTCCTGTCGCTGGGCAAAACCGAGAAGAGTCTGATCCCAGACAGACACCTCCTGACACTCACCCTTTAGATATTTATAAGCATTAATGAGATCCCCCCTCAGTCTCTTCTTCTCCAGACTAAACAGCTCCAGCTCTCTCAGTCTTTCCTGAAATGGGAGCAAACATGCATTGATCTTCTTGGGAGCACAAGAGCAAAGAAGTGAAGATTTCTCATGAGAACACTCTGGCAACCTTCAGGAGAGGAGAGCAAACAATCCTTTTGCAATGAGAACTCCAGGAGCCAACAACATCCACGTGATAAATGGCCGCCTACAAAGCAATTTCCCTGGTGAACTGCTAAAAACGTTGGGGTGGCCATATCCAGGCCTTGACACCTTACAGAAAATGTGGAGACAACACTGGAGTGTCCTCGTTAGTCAACACACCGGGAATGGTTAGCCATATCCCAGGAGACCTTTCTGGTCATGCCAGTTCTGGGCAGTGTCTGGGACACTCGGTCCTGATGCCACCATGAACCTGCTGCCAAGGTCTTGGGAAAAACAAAGCAAATTACAACAGGAGTTTCCACAGTTAAATAAATAAAAGAGCTGAGCCAGGAGCTCTGACTCTTTTGGCTGTCCTATTTGCTCCACTGTCAGATCATTTTACATCCTTCTTTATTGAAAGTTTGTTTAAAAAAGAAACAAATGAAGGAGCTCTGTTCCTTGGAGCAGTTTACCTAATGTTCTTACTGCAGATGGGCTCCATTGGCCAGTGATGGGTTGAATTCGTAGCCAGCCAATTTGCAGAGATATCTCACTGCTGGGTGGGTGGATCAGAGCATCACAACTATCCTTGGGGTGCATGGGACAGGAGAAAGGAAAGGTGCTGCTTTGACATATTTGTGCTGCTTTACTGCTGCCTGGCCAAGCACAGAGCCACGTCAGCATTGATGGGACTGGGAAAAAGGCACCAGGGCTGGCACTTTTCCCCTCAGAAATCCCTGCCCTGTGCCTTATCCTTGCAACAAAGCAATGTGCATTGTATTATTTCCTAGGGGGAGTCAAGGAGGCAGCTGTGAAACTGGTTTCATGATGCTGGGAGCTGGTGAAGCTCATGGCAACAGGTCACCAGTCCCCAGGAACACCCTGCGACCATGGCAGGAAGGGCCACAGTTCGTAAAATGTGAATCCATGCAATGGCAGCAGAAAGGATGCTGGTTTCAGGGGAAATCTCTCTTTTACACTGGCCAGATTCTGTTCTCCTCCCAGAGGTTTCACGGAGTGATGCTGCAACCTCTTTGGGCATCCTCTTTCCCCATGGAGCACCGTGCCTTTGCTGCAGTCTCCTGTGAGCAGTGGGGTGAGGGGAGAGGGAAAGTGCTCAGTTACTCACATATGGTAGAAAAAGATAACATTTCCCAAAATGAACAAAAACATGTTGAACTTAACTTCCCTAAGCTCCTCCCTTGCCAGGGAAAGCAGCAATTACTGGTACAAGGGAAGAGGAGAACATGACACGCAGAATATGTTAAATGACAAGCAATCCCCAGGGAGACAGTTAGCACCCTGCAGTTTATATCTTAGGGGTGCAGGTTCTGCCACACAGGTACAAACAGGCAGCACAATACTTCTTGTACACCTTCAGCCGCTTTGAACCCCAAACAGGGCCATAACTGAGTACTTCAACCATGCAAGAACCTCTTCTGCTTAACTAGAAGGGCCCCGATAGGCTCAAAATGTGAATAAATGCTGGCAGATTTATGGGAATGCAAGCAAGCAGCCTGAAAACTCATTTTGCAAGTGTTTTTCCAACTGCAGTACAATATAAAACAAAGACACATTCTGCATTTGAATCTACTGTGAAAATTTTGGAAGATAAAACTGACACGGGCAGCTGAGCTGCGGCTAAATGAGTGGAAACTGCTTTGAACACCAAATAGCTGTGACACAGCTGCAGTTTTCAGAAGGCTCTCTCCTTTCAGAAAAAGACCTGTCTGATAATTTTGCTGGTTATTAAAAGAAAATAAAATAAAAAACCCAAGACAAACCAAACAAGAAGGATGATGCCAGCTGATCTGCAGACATACAGCAGTTCCCACTGCAGAAGCCACTTCAGCTTTCACTATTGTTTGCAGTTATTCTCCTGATGATAACAAAATATGAGGCTCTTGTTGCAAGGGGAAAAGAACAGAGGCTGTGCTGGGGAGGGTGAAGAGCAATACTTGGCAAGTGTGAGAGGAGAGATGGGAGAAATCACATCAAGGTGGCAGGGGTCACGCTGCAGGGAATAGGGAGAGGTGAAGAGCAAGGACTGAGGAACACATATCCCGAGCATTAATATTTACTGAAAATCGTCAGTGTGAATATATAGCTGCCATCCTTTTGCTGTGATGGCATTTCACAGTGCTAAGCATTTTTCTCAGAGGGTCTGAATTTGCCAGGTGCTGAGCAGCTTCCCAGGAACCGCTCAACAGCCCATGACTCTGAGACCAGCAAGGTACAGGGTGATTGCGCAGGACTCGCTATTACAAGTTACCAGCTTTGCCAGCCATTAGCAGAGGAATTACAGGCTTATTGGGCAAGATCTTTAAACAGCCCTGACAAGTCTGTGCTGCATCGTGCAGAACGGTGTTTTCCAAACATATCAGTCTCTAGCGCAGAAAGGGCCCGTGCCACTGTCTCACCACCCTCACAGTAAAGAATTCCTTCCCAATATCTAATCTAAATCTACCTTCTCTCAGTTTAAAGCCATTACCTCTCGTCCTGTCACTACACTCCCTGATAGAGTCCCTCCCCATCTTACCTTTAGGCCCCCTTTAAGTACTGGAAGGCTGCTATAAGGTCTCCCTGGAGCCTTCTTTTCTCAGGCTAAACAACTCCAATCCCTTCAGCCTGTCCTCATATGCTTACAAAGCTCTTGGTGCTGAGGTTTATTACTGCCAGCAGCAGAGGCAGAAAATACCGGTACTAATTGGTGCAGTATTTTACAGTTATGATCATCCCTTGCTTGCTTAAGCAGCCTGACATGATGGCTAAACCTGCAGTGTCTGATGGGAGGTCACACGTTCTCAGTGATGCAGAGGACTCATAGGCAAATCAGCAATAGCACCCTTGATGGCTACGAGAACATCAGCACTTAGTGGAATATATTCAAGCCATAAAGGTTGTATCACTGAGGACAAACAGCTATTTCTCTGTCCTGCAGTCTCATCCTTATTGCAGATGATACAAATCAGCCCTGTCCCTTTCTGTTATGAAACTGGGGACTGATAAGATAAGAAGTGAAGTCCAGAACTTCTCATGCTTCTCACTTACCCTCAGCCGACGTCCAAAGACAGTGACCTGCCCTCTGGCTTGCTCCTTCCTCTGCCGCCACTCCACGAGGTTGAGGCCGTTGTCGATGGGCAGGGTGACGTTCCTCTTCCCCACCGTGGGGTTGACGGTGCCAGCCAGCAGATGTGGCTCGGTTTGCAGGGCCACCTCCATGCCGTTAGCGAGCATCAGTCTGAGAGAGCCATCGGCGCCGATGTAGTAGCTGTTTCGCACTTGGTCTGAAGACAGAAAAGAGATTTTTTCAAGTGGCTTCCCAGTGATACAGCTCCAGCTTTTCATTTTCTCCCTCACTCAGGCTTCATCAGCATTCCTGGTGGTTGTAACCAAATGCACTGGCACTCACCCGTCCCACAGCGAGCAGAACATTTATTTCAACAGCAAATGTAAAGATGGACAATCTCTTTTTCTTTCTGCTGAGATTCTGCACCTCCAGTTCTCTCAGGAAAGTCTTACATGGGTTAAAAAAGGCACCAGGGGAAGAGCCGTGTAATACCCTAGCAAAGGACATGGTTCAAGCCTCTTCCTCTAGGCTAAAACACTGGGTGGTGAGATATTTGTTTTAAATCACAGCCCAGCTGAAATCTTTCCATGCTTTTATATCCTGAAGATCCCAATTTCACTACAATATATGAAAAAGTGAGGCCACTTACTTTCCCCAGCTTATTCACCATCTCACAAGTGACAGGAAATTGCACAGCGAGTTAATGCTAACCAGTTCCCTAAACAACAGCAAAACCCTTTCACTGGGGAAAGCTTTTGGGAGGCAACCAGAGTCCTCCTGTTTGGAGAGAAAGCAGAAGCACTAAGCTCCCACACATCTCCATACATCTGGCCTCCACCAGCTCCTGAAAGAGCAGCAGATTTTTGAGGCCAGGATTTGGGAGTTCAGGAGTGGAGGAGAAGAATAATACCCCTTCTGCATCCTTTGGGATCTGGGCAGGCTGAAACCCTGTCCTGTAAGTCTCCAGCTGGCATTGAGGTCTGCAGACAGGAGCTCATGAAGAGTAAGCAAGCATGAGCCTTGCTCAGTGCAGAATGGGTTTAAAAGCATATGATACAAAGACTGCCTTATCTGAAGCTCCTCAAAAGCCGGAAAATATTACCATTTCTGTCTCCCAGGCTGCCATGAATACCTAATTGTGAATAAAACCACCCATTAAAAATTCAAGTCAATTGTTTTTCTGTTCTAAGGCAAGTTGGGTTTTGTTCACGAGTTGCTCTGCCATAGTGCAGCAGGAAACGAGGTCACAGCAAAAATTATCATCTTTTGTCTGGATAAAACAGATAAGCAAAAAGCACATTTTGGTATAATTAGGAAAGGAAACCTGACACCAGTTGGTCTTTTTTGTTGTGAGTCTGGTCCTGCTCCTGATGTAGCCAGCTGGAGCCTTGCCACACCGAGCCCAGCAGGACCACAACTCAACTTCTTGTACACAGCAGTGATGGTGTGAAACTGTCGAGGCACTGCATTTTGCCACTACAGACATACAGCAGTGATCCACAGTGCAGATCCAAGTATTTTAGCTGTACCACTGAGTACTTAAGTTGGTGGTATTTTGGCATAGACTCCAGCAGGCTCCAACCCACTCCACACTCAATTCTGAAAAGGGAAAGAAGGGGGACAGTCATCTGGCTGTCACGCTTTTGTCCTTAGATGCTTGGTCTTGTGAGAAAGTGGTAGGAGATGCTCTTTAAATCCAATCAGTGAAATGTCTCTGTACGGATATTATATTCCTCCTTCCTTCACTCTTCACCAGGAAGCAGGGGAAAGCTTGAAGCTCTCCATGAAATTCACTGGACCTGTGATGTTCCCTTTGTGTCACACAGACACCTTTGTGTCACACAAGGGGATATGGTGGATTATCAACAGCAGTGTGGTGCAGTGTGGTACAGTGTGGGGAATGTAAATTCTCCATTTTCAACATTTTCCCAAAAGAATACAATTCCAGGGCTTTGGAAGGCATTTCTCAAGGGCTATATGAAATCCAGGGGCCATTGGATGTTATATTTTAGGCTGTTTTGGCTCTAGGGCACTGGTGCCCTATTTTGGCCTGGAACAAATGCTCACTTTGCCATTAATCCAGAGGACAAAATCCTACAGGGGTGCTGAGGTGCCTGTCAGTTGTAGAGGCTCCCAAATCCATCCTACATGAATCCATAACCTTCTGAAAATGCCTTCTCAGATCTCACCTGTCCACTGTGTGACCCTCGTTTCCTGAAAGGTTCACCAAGGATTTGTGAAAGCTGGCCAGAGCTGTGAGTCAGACAAAAAACGCACAAGCATGTTCCACGCAAAGGGAATCTGCAATATGTATTTTCCCTGGAGAACAAGGGAATGGGCACAGACCTTGTGAACAGCTCCAGCTTCAGCCACTGGAGAAGCACTTGGAAGGCAAATTACATTTCAGCTGTGCTCAGTACATCCCTGGGCAACTCCAGTGGTCCTTGTTTCAGTTTCTGCAACTGTGAGCAAACAGGGATCTCCGTTTGGAAATTCGCAGTCCCTAACGCCTGTGGGAAAGCCACCTTCAGCAGGTGGCAGGTCACCTCTGCTACAACGTTATCCAGATCTCCATTTTAAGATAAGTGCATTTCTTCAGATCCAAACAGTTTTGTAATTTTATACTTCTGAAGATGGTTAAGTGGTTTATAATGCTGCATGTCCTAATGGCAAGAGTGGCCCTGTGCTGGAGGGCAGCACAATGAGATAATTGACTGTGGCACCATTATGCAACTGTGCCTTCGGCTCCGGGTGTATCAATCACATCGCAGTCAATTATCTCACTAAAGGGCCCCCAACAGCCAGCTCTATTGCTTAATTAGGCTCTTGAGGTGAAGCCAACCTCGTGTCTGTGCAGTTGCCAGACGTCTTAATGTGAGTGGGGCGGCGTAGGTTGGATCTGCTTTGCAGGCTGAAGCAAAGAATAAGAAAGTCATTGTGTTCCCTATAGGAATAGTGAGGATGGCTTGAAGGGGCTGGCATCCTCTCAGTCGCCCTCTCCAAAGGCAGGAAAAGCAGTGTTCAGGCATAGCAGGCACCTTCTTTTAAGAAAACTTGCTGTTATTATAAGGAGTGGGGAAAAATGTGTGTCCCAGGGATGTGGGAACAAATGTGATGCTGGAACACATTGGTCTCACTTGGAGCATTTTGTTCCCCACAAGGGCAAATGATGCTTTACACCCCATTGCCACCAGGCACAGACTAGAAGTGAATGAGAGATGGGAAGTGAAGAAAGCAATGACTCTGGAAGTCCCTTCCCTTTCTCCAAGCCCCAGGGAACAGGAGAAATGGCGCACCCTGACCCTCAGGAGGCTTCAGCCTCCAGAACTTGGAGACCCAGGCTGGCATGGTTTGTGTACTACAACTTCTGTCCCTACCAGTATGCCAGTACAGTGGTGTTTATTCCTCTTTTCTTTCCAACTTCATAACCTTTTCCTCCACCTCATTAATCCTCCACTTCCCCGGCAGAACTGTGCTTGTTTCCAACAGCCACAAACTGGTCCCACGAGTCCTACCCTGGCTGCCCACCTCTCTTTCCTCCACTGTGGCTCTCCACACCAGCTCAAACACAGACCTTTTGGGAACAGGGATGGTCATTTCTCTGAATGCTGCCTTGTGAATATTTGAACAACCAGTGAACAAAGAATCAGAGAGACCTCCAGCAACCAGCTGGAAGCCTGTTCCAGGAGGGGAGTAACTCTTAAGTTAGAAGCCATTAAGAGAGCGAAGCAAAGGGGTCAGCTTGAAGTGCAGCTAGATTTATGCAACCCTTTTTGTTACAACAATAATGGTAATGGTAATGGAGGACTGTACTGCATGAGGACTGCATGGCGAGGGGACCTGCAGAGAATGAAGCAGAAAACAGCTGCAGAGCAAGCACGGCGCTAGGGAATGTGCCTAAGTAGGTGTGAGTGTGCGTCTGTACCAGCGTGTGGGGAGCTCTGGGGTCCTGAGCCTGCAGGTGATTTTTGGTGCTGGGATTATCAAGATGCCGCCTGTTTCCTGATGGATAATTCACTGTGGGAGGACAGTGGCCCAACTCACCTTGGAGCAGGGTGTAGAAGGCTCCCGATGCCGACAAATTGGTGGTTATTGTAACATCGTCCTTGCTGGAGGTTTCCACCTGGACGTGCACGGAGCTGTCGGTGTCGCTGCGGAAGCTGCTCACTTGGCCGGTAGGGAAGGTCACATTGGTCAGGCGGCCAAAACTGTCGTACCTGAAAGGGAGGATGGAGTGAAGTCAACAGCACCAATGGAGGAGTGGGATACGGGAATCATCCTACAAAGCAGAGAACAAGTCTTGAAGTCTCCACCCAGATTTTTCCCAGAGAAAAACACATTGTCAGTCTGTCAGACTGTCTTGACTTTTTTGGCTTCATGAGAAGAAAATCACAGCTTTTAGCTGAAGAATATCAAGCAAAGAACAGAAAATTACTAAATAAGTATTAGCCTGTATTTTAACAATATTTTTCTGATACTTATAAACTGCATTGTTCTTCTTGTTTACAACAGTAACTTTATTTCCTATTCACTGTGCTGTGATTTATGGAAAAGCAGTGGCCCATGCATCCTGTTTCGCAGAACTAGGTGTTTCTGAAGGCCACCAACTGTTTTGTCTGGTTGTATTGCTCTTCAGTGGGGATTTATTTTCCTTTTCTATGTTAATTTAAAAGTTAATGTTAAGGTAGCAGTAAGGACCTGCCAAATGGACCACATCCGGTAGAGAACTTCTGTGAACGTGGTGAAGAGCCCTGAGCATATCTGAGACCCCCATGTCTACTTTTTACTGTTTGTAGGACCATCTGGAGGGACTGATTTAAAAGTGTTAAAAAGCAGTTAAATTTTCACCCCTATTGAGTCCTTGGCTTTTCCAATGAGGAAGTCAACATAAGCCCCATCTGGGAAGGTTTCTGTGATGTGGACATCTGTGTACCAGGACCCAGATGAAATAAGCTACAGACATGCAGGTCCCACAGCAGTTAACAAGCTATTATTTTTTTAATAAAAAGGAGAAGCAGACATCTGTGCCTAGAGGTCTCCTGAGTTGATGGACCAAAGGCACCATCCTGCCTCCCATTTGTGGCACTGCAAAAACAATGCCCTTGGGTCACAGACTGAGCTAAGAGCAGAGGGTTGGTAAGGGACCTTTGCAGTGGGGGCATTACAGACTGAAATGGAGAGCAGAGGGAAGCTCTGCTGGCTTGTATCTGGGGAGCTGTTGGACCTTCTGATGAGACGGACCTTCAGGGAAGGGATATTTAACTAGTCAGGGAGAAATAGTGGAAAATTTCCAGCAAGAGCAATTAGTGATCACTTGGATTTTTTTCAAATCCTGCCCACATATCATTTAAGAATTATTTATATGATATATAAGAAGGTTATATCGAGAAAACACATCATATGGGGATGCAAAGTGAATGGTGGGTGAGCAGAGAGGACTCGTTCTGCAATACCCAGTGGTGAACCTTTGATGGAGCATGGTGTCCAGTGAAGGGCACTGCTCCTCAGCATGATAAAGAAATGTAAATGATATGTTAAGGTAACAAACCTAGAAAACACGACCAAAGAGGCAAAGCCAAAAGAAATTAGTTGATTTAGAAGGGAGAATACAAGGAACTGGGAAGATGCCACCGTGACAACAGTTGCTCTGAAGAGGATTATAACTAATTGTTCATCATGTCTACTGAGGATGTGACAAAAAGTAGTCAGCCTGAAAAGAAACAAGGAAAATTCAGGTCAGAAGCTGAAGAAAATTTTCCAGGCCTATGGTTGCTCCAGCAGAGGAACAGATGGAGCACTGGAAACTCCACTGCCCAATGCTTTTAAGAACAGGTGAGAGAAATGTGTTAGAGAGGGTGTGGATACAGTTGAGCAGACCTTGGAGGGAGCAGATGGTTGAGGAGCTCTTGATCCTCCTCTTCAGGGTTACTCTGAGCTGAGGAATAAGACAACAGACCCACCTAATAACAGAAAAACCCAAACTAAACAAAGGAGAGGGAGAGGAGAGGAGAGGAGAGGACTCCTCTTGAACCACAACTCATGAGAGACCCAGGAGCAGCCATTGGACTGGGTCTGCACTATACAGAAAAAGATATTTGTCTCCTCTTCCATTCTCTTTTTTTCCAGCTTTTACTCAGTGCTGGTACTTTGCTTTTGACAATACACTGGCAGTGACTTAGTGTGAGGAAGGGCTGGTTGAAAAGGTGTTTTTTGCCCAAGATTAATATTTAGTGTAAAGTGAGCTCATTGCAAGTCTCTCCAACCCTTAGGTTTGGAGATACCACCATGTAAGGCTTTTCTTGCCCATGGGGAGAGGGGGAGGTAGGAAAGAAGAAGAAAGCACTCGTCCCTCCACAGTCAGCCTATCAGTCATGGATTATCCAAGCATGAGGATGGGGCAGCTTTGCCCTTTCCCTCCAAGATCTTGGCAAACAACCAGCCACTTGTGAGATGGAAAAGAAGAAAGAAAAAGAAAAGGGAGGGATGAATTCAGGAGTGCATTGCAGAAGTTTGGCAGGGACCAGTTACAGCTTTTCCAAGCAGCTAGCATTGCACAGCTTGGATTTAAACTGCATCTCCAATTGCAAGAGCCAGAAATAAAGCGCTCTCAGCACCAAAAGCTTTGCTCCATGGTTGTGGCTGTCCTTTTTGCATGGAGGTATGCATTATGATTGTGCTTTCTGCACAGTCATCTGCTCATCTCCTCCTAAACCAGCATGTGAGCCTTCAACTGAAAATATCAGAGGTGATATCTGTAGCCCATCTGCTGAGACAGGACACAAGGGACATGATTTAGTCTCTCTCTTGAGCAGAGAAAACATGGTTATTGCTAAAGGTGTGTTGTGCAACACCCCAAATTCTTCCTGCCATGACATCAATATATGTGTAAACCAGTTTGAACTGTAAGGGTAGACTCAGATCTCAAATGCTTCAGTACTGGAGGAAGATGGATCTGAATTTGGCACCTCTGACTTCATGATATTAGCAACTGAAAGGGATTTATTTATATAGTTATATTTAAGTTAAAAAAATAAGGTGCTCCTGAAATCAAGCCTGATTGACTTCTTAAAAATAATGGCACAAATCTAGATGGGCTGCACTGAAGTCAAAGGGGTGAGTTTGGTGTAATACAGGTGTGAGCGTGCAAGAAAGCAGGTCTGTGGATTAGGGAAAGGAGGAGAACAAAAGCCAGGATGGGGGCAGAATTTGTTCATATGATGGACGTGGCCACTGTTTCATTTAAGTGCTGAGTCAATGTCTGGTGAGCCATAGGGTTTATCCCAGCTGAAGGACACTCAGCACCATGCTGAGAGTCAACACAAAACCTATACTGCAGGCAAGTCCTTCTGTGCTCCAAACAAAGCCTCCAAAACCTGTGGATGCTCAGTTTAACAGCCCCAAGAAGCAGCAGCTCCTTAAACTCTGTTCCTGGACACTGAGCTCACAGTACCCTCAATGGTCCTGCAGCTCTCTGCTGGGGAAATATGTCATATCTGCAAATGGGCAAATATGCCAGTAACCTCTGGCTGTGCAAAATGGGTTAAAATAGCAAGAA